ATCAGCAGAAAGGCTGCTGATGCTGCGGCAATGCAGCAGGACGCAATCTTCCGAGCCATGTCGCGTTCCTTTTAGGGTGACTTGGCGATAGGGCAGTCTCCTATACAACTCCGGCTGATTCACTGTGATCGCGGATGGTTCAGAGAATCAATTGTCAAGCTTGACATCTTGCGAAAAAACTGCACTGTCCAAGCTCCGATGGATGTACATGACTTCATGGCCGCCGGCTCTTTCTGCGTGTTTGAACGCATAAGTCTGGTTTGGATGCTACCAGCTCTTCCTCCGCACCGGTACCTGAGCGAAGACTTGTGCTGCGCTTACATAATTTCTTCTCAACACTTCGCGGGTCATGTGGCTGTACCGGGAGTGGCTAGGGCAATGAGTGCAGTTAGCTGCGGGGCCAAACAAATCCGCTCAGGTGCGTGCCATCCGTGGCATGAAAAACGTCTTTCTCATCACGCCCTGTCTTCTTCGGCACATCGGGAACCGAAAGTTGCACCGCACACATACCATTTCACCAGCCCCGGTGGGGCTGCTGACGGCTAATGGAAGGCAACAGCAACACCAAGCAGAAGAATACTGTCAGAACGACCACAACACGAATCGGTCAGAAAGCTTTGGGTCGGGCTTTGATGAAAACACCAACAATCTGCACAATCAGCAACGATTACTCCAATAGCAAGTGTAATAGATTCAAGCACCACTGAAAAGAGCTGATCGAATATCAATAGAAATGCAAGCAGCGCCGATCCCCACCAACTTTGATGTTGCAGCCGCGACGCCGCAAAGGACGTGTAGCAACCCTTGACCGACTCGCCTCCAGCGGCCGCATCTCCGGATTTGACCAGCCTTCATGGAACGGCTGAAGAACTGCGGTCGGAGGCCCTTCAACAGTTCGGCTACAGGGGCTCATGCATGTCTCACTCTCTTTGTCGCTTCTCAATGCATCTACACGGTTGTTCTGCATTTGGGTTTGCTAAAGCATCCGTTATGCGCACCACTCCAAACGATGGCCTACAGCCCACAACCCAAATTGTCTCGGAAAGGTCCAGGGTTGACGGTTTTCTTCCTGCTGCTGTTGGCAAAGGCAGAGATGGTGGCGCTCAGAAAGGCAGCACCATCAATGCAAATGCTCTGGGCTCCAGCTGGCTCGAGAGAACCGGCTGTCAAGAGTGCCGCGAAGGAATCTGTTCTGCTTCCTGTGCATATGCGGCGCACATGGTGCGCTGTAGCATCAACTGCAGGAGGCTTGACTCAAGAATCGTGGCCAGCGGTGCAGGTGAACACTTTGGCACCTCACCGGCCTCAAAGATTGCTCAAAGCTTTGAAGGCTCCAGTTTCCGCCGCTTCGGAGCAGCTACGAGCGTGGCGCTCACAGTGTACTTCGCATCGAGGCCCTCAATAGATCCCTCCACAAGATCTCCAATCGCAAGAGGGCCCAACGAGCCTCGACACCGACGAGATTCACTGGTACGCAATCACGCTTTGCATACTCGTAGCAAAATCAGGCTAGAAGGAATCATGCCAGCTATTCCCATCTAGTGGGCATATGGTAGATGTCGTGGGCATGACTCCTTCCAAACCTTCCGTATCTACATGATCAGCCATGGGGAAGGGCACTAAGAACTCGTGTCACTCACCTATTTACGGCAGCCACAGACCTGGGCTTAAGCTTGCACAGCCTCCCTGCCTGCACCAGTGAGAAGAATATCGCCTCTTCGTAAAGGTGTCAGCTCGCTGGCCTGAGCCGCGGGCGTAAGCATTAGCTACATGAAAAACTCGAAATGGCCATGCTCTTTTCTAGTAGTACTGTAGCAAGTCACATCAGCAACCTGCTGCGCTATTGTGAATTTCATCTTGCTGATCTCATCCTCTGCAACGGTCTTCCTTGGTTTACGGCTCTTCAACAAATGAACCTGCATTGTGCATCACTACCATTGCACATACTTGATGGGGCACCACATATGTCGCTCTTTACTTGCCTGGTTCACTGACATGGCCACGGCACCCGTTCACCCGACAAATGATGCGGGAAGACTCTGGCTTCGGAAGTACGGATGCAGGAATGAATGCACCCACCTCGGGGACGCGAAGCGAAGCTGAGTCAACTGACTAGTCATCCGAGGACCCAGCCGGTTTGAATGTGTTCTGGCACTTGTTTCGAGTCCAGGAGTGGCCATACCTCTGTTCAAGCATTGGGGGTACAGAGGGCAAGACGAAGCCACAAGCTGATTCTATGCAGGCGTGGCGCTTCATGGACTCAAAACCTCGGATTCCAGGACGGAACCTCCACTCATCAAACGCAGTCGATGCAGCGAGTTCACTTATCCATCGCGCTAGCGCACACCCTGCAAGCTTCATTACCAGTTCCCATCTCGCATCATCTCGTGCATTGTTTTTGTTTTGCGCAGTCAAAAGGCCAAGGTTTCCGCCAGTCAAATCGAGCACCATGCAGTAGCCACCCACGTAGTCCAGAGCTTCATGAGGGGAGAGATTTTCGCCTGCACATGGATTCTTAGCTAGGAAAACGGGAGTGCACAGCGGCAAATTGCGGTCATGGCAATCCACTCCTTGATTGCAAAGCCAAGCAGCAGGAATGCGATATGACAACCTTCTTTGTGATTCATGCTCACTGCGACCAACAAGTGAACTGAGGAAAAGCTCGTGGATTCATCAACCGGCCAAAGAATCAAATTGTACGGCTGGCGGCGCCGAGCTCTGCTTCCCACAGCATCTGGACACCTTCAGGAACTTCGCACTGGCCACCCGTGGCAATGGCCGATGTCATGGGGCACACAAACCACTCCTCAGACTGCAGCAAACACCACCCAAGCCGTTATCGCATGGCAATGCGAAATGGCACTGACGATTCTGGAACAGCACGCTTCAACACACGCATGCCGTGCTGGTCATTGCACTTCTGTGAGCTTTATGACTCCATGCCACTCTCGGCAGCCGAGACACAGGTCTCAAGTACCTCATGTCCACGACAAAGCAAGTCGAACAAAGCAACAGCATTTGTGCCAGAGACATGCTGTGCACTCTTGCCGTTACCAAGCCAACTGTTGCAAGCTTGAGCCTTGTCGTATTGTGGACAAGTTGCTCTGCAGCTTTTTTCTGTGCCAGGGTTCGATCTGCAGGCAGCTGTTGCCCTTGATGGTTGCCTGCAGTCCGGGAAGTTAGCGGCTCTGGAAAATGGAAGGGTCAGCCCCAGACAGCATACAATTTCACAGAATTTCACCAAGCCTTCAAAAGCAAAATTGAAGGCCGGGCCCCCAGAGAGTCACTCAGAGGCCAAAAAGATGAGCAACACAAAAAAGCTCCATCTCGTGCTGGCTGCCCATCACAGCAATGTCATTCCCCTCAGAGACGGCTGACCCCGGATCATGCCGGCAAGCTTCAGATGGTCCCAAGAATCTTCTGGCCCTCCAACATGGGATAAATCGGCAAGGTCGTGGCCCTTCGTGCCAACTGATCGCGCCTCGGGATTGACAAGAAGCGCGCCATCCGCGCGTGCACGTCGATGCTAGTGTTTCAGAACTGCTGCATGCGCATCACGGCAGTAAGGACCACTAATGTCCAGTCAACCTGTTTGCCCTAGGACCCAGTACGACCGCCTGCATGATCTCGCAAATATGGGTGCGCTTCGCTCTCCTTTCCGGTGCTTCAAGATACCTCTATTTTCTGCTGTCGAAAGCGAAGCCGCCGGTAGCGGCCGCACCAGGACTCTGCGCCCACCCAGTGCGATACTGCATGACACGACCGCAAAAAAGTCAATCACAAATAAACGCTATAAAATGCCTTCAGCCTTGAGACTGAACCCATGCCATCCACAACAGCAGCTTGGCACTGAACACTCGAGACCCAAGCAAACTCAAGTGCTGGCAGCTGTCACAGTGAGGGCTCGCAGGCAAGTGGAAATGACGGGCGTCGGAACGCCTTTCTCCTGGCCCATACGATGGACTGAGCCGAGCCTGAGCATAGAAGGCTTGAGTTAGAAAACAGTCTCCACATCAGTTTCGATCGATGATCGCGCTTACCCCTTGCTTCATCACTGCAAGTGTTTGGACCGAGAAGCAAGTCTTCCAGCTCGCTGTGCCTGACACGTATGCTTGCGCGAGTTTTAGACAAGTGTGCACTTCACCGTTCTGACTTTAGGGCATGCCTACCAGCCCAAAGATCACGACTGCAGCTCGTCGTGGCACCAATGGCATCTCGCAAAACAGGGATGCCTTACAGTAGACGGCATGCAATAACACCGATATCTCTTGCTAGACCGACCGTTTGATTAGTGAAGGCTGATCGCGCTTTTCCATCCAGGACTGCTGGTAGTCAATGCCGCTCTTTTTGGCCTCTGCTTCGGACGCGCAAGAGCTCGCAACTGCAGCAAACTTGGCGGCACGGATGACAATACGTCCGAGATTGGAGCAATTGCGATGATTTCTTCCATAGCAGAGCGCCACATCTGCTCAAGCTCAGGGACCTGCAAGCTTTCGTGTCACGATAGAATCCGATAGAGTCTGTGGAAGTTCCCCTGCCTGCGGGATCAAGTCCTGCGTGGCACTGGGCCCTGCAGTTGCCTGGACCGCTGTCGTCGAGCAGATGAAGGAGAACTTTTCCTGATTTGAGGTCGTGTCCATTTGTTAGATCCAGCTCACCCTGCCAGGCTTTGCGGCGATGCCACAGATCTGTCTAGGTCTAGGTATGAAGTGCTGCACAGCCTCCCAACATTTGGAGAGCGCATCGTGCTCCAATGAGACTGGCCAATGTTCCCATGATCCAGGACATGACATGGAAGCCCCGGGTTGCAGCAAGACCCGTAAATCAATCTTGCAGCGCCTGCCATGCCTTCGCAGGAAGCGAGGACGGATTCCATGTGCTTTGTCCTCGATGTTGGCGCGCCCTGTGCAATCTCATGCAGCTGCGTGGCTTGTGAGCGCTTTACCTCTCCACAGACCAGTCAGACGGAACTGCCTCGAATTCTCCACAGTAGATGCAAGGTGGATTTGCTGCCCAATGCTTGATAAGGCCCGGCTCCTGCTCCAAGATGCAACGCTCGAACCTAGCTTTTGCCGCAGCACGTTGCTGGTCTCTGGTAGATATCCTGGATGGCTGCAACGATGTTGCACCAGCCAACCAACGGCCGGCCCTTTCCCCAAGATGTCACAATGGATCGGACTGTGCCAAATGCATCGACGCCATTCTGAAGCGGCAACACCTGGGTCAACGACTCGGTTGCCGGCGACGCAGAAACCGCAAAAGCACATGTCGCACTGCTTGCGTCCACAGGGCAAGAGTGTTAGCTCCACACCACGGCTGACACATCTTAAGGCAACGCTCCACTTCCCAGGCCTTTCACGGTTGAGAATGAAAAGGAGGGGGGGACAACCGTGGAGGGTTGTCGGGTGGCGGTGCCGGCACGCCTTGCAGGCCAGCACGATCACGTCTGCTTCAAACTTCGACTCCTTGTCCAAAGCTTCCGTGTTCATCACCTGCAGAGGGGCTACCGCCTGGGGACTTTGCCCTCTGCTCTGTACGGCCAAGATTTGGAAAGGCCTGGTCCAAGTCTTTCCGAGGGATGTGCACATCACCGCAGATACTTCGTACCTGTTACGTTGGGTTGTGGCCAGCTTGTGTCAGGACAGGCCGTTGTGACCATAGGCTTGCCACAAGAGCTTTCGCTGAGTACGTCACCCTGACACCATCTCCAGACAGGACTCGGAGCGTCTCCTTCCTGACCTGGAGGTATGCAAAAACTGATTTTCATGAAAATGATGCGACTTCCAGACATTAATTGCAGCACAGGCTGCCATGAAACTCACCTTCTGTTTCTTCCTTATCTGCTCACTCGGGCCGCTGTTCTTCGCTGTCCAGTTTCCGACCACAAATTGAAGCAACGAACCCAAAGTCGATCGACTAACCGAGAAGCTGCGCTAACCGAGCACCAAAGTATCCTCCGACAGCTCCGCATCCGAAAAACAGCCATCTAAGCGGACCTGAGTCTTTGGCACATTCATGCGACCAAACACCCATGTTGCGATGATCGCTGAAGTTGCTGTTGCTGCTGCGTGGTTGGGGCGGTGGTCGTGATAGTGGTGGCGCTGGTGCTGGTGGTGCTGGCGGTGCTGGTGGTGGCAGGTGGTGCTGGTGCTGCTGATGGTTATCTGAAGTCATCTGAGAGGGTGGTGGCGGTGGTGGTGCTGGTAGCAGCCACGATTCTTTCTGTCGTCGCCCTTGCTCTTAATGTTGTTTTTGCTGTTCCCCTGCTACTGCTTGCAGCATCATGCTCCTCTGTTGACAGTGGCGTTGCGGCGTTGTCGCTGTGCTCATGCCTTGCAGGCACATGCTCGACCTCGCATCGTTTTCCTGGCCGTTGTCGTCGCGGTGTCCTGCTACAAGTACCTGTTCTCACCGTGTTGCATGCATTGCCTGTCTCTTTCGTAGCAGACAGCGGTTTTCACAGCACGACCATGATTACCGACATGGGTCTGACACACAGCATCTCAAACTGTTGGTCGAGCATGCAGGGCTGGGTGGCCGGCTCTCTGAACCAGCCATGGTGCTTGTTATCACTACACGTCCAGGAGCCCGTCAAAGCTGCAGTTCAATGTATGTGTACACTTGCTTGAGTGATTCCTTTTTGCTGCATGCGCGCATTGTATTGAAGCTTTTGGCTTCCTTGTGATGATGTCAGTAATGATCGAACTGCGGTCGGCAGTATTCCAAGCCTTGGATCGGCAGCCATCTCGTGGTCACGCAGGATGGCATCGTTGCCGCCGGAGGCTGGCGGAGAGCACCTGCAACCGCAACCCATGAACAGCTACAGCTACCAGCTACCGCCTGGTCTCCGGGTCACCGACTCGGGACTTTAAACCTTCGTTGGGCCACGCGTTGCAGAAGCAAGACGACTTTATGCCTGTGGCACAGCAAGACCGGAGAAAGGGAAAGAGATGGCTGGAGGGCCACGTGACATACTGTGTTCGCAGCATCGGCACACCTTTTGAACTTGCCTTGCTCGACCCATTTTGTGGGCAGCTGTTGAAAACTTGCCGAAAATGAGGGCACTGCAAAACGAAACCCTGAAAGCACATCTGCGAAACAGGCCCCAGAAGTCACAGGTGACATCCGGACGAGCCAATCTGCTGTGAGATGAGAACATTAGCAGAGCAGTAGGAATGCACTGGAGGAGATAAATCCTCCAGGGTAGCCCGGGTCGGGCTAATTAGACAGCCTCTGTACACATTGGCCATGCACTGCTGGTGTGCCGGCTGCACGGGCGACATTCGCTGTTGCATGGCCTCCGTCGGAGGAGTCGCGGCCGTAGCGCACTGCGGCCAAACATGCCGATTGTCGCGGATGGCAGTTTACAAATTCGGAGACGCTGCCGCAAGCCTCGGAGCTTGTTCAGGGTGCACATAAAGTCGTGTCTGTAGAAGACTTGACTAGACACATACCGTATAGTCTTCGGATGCACGCTGCTGTGCAACCAGGCATCTTCAATATGGACTGCGGGACGGTTAGATCCGGAAGCTTCTTCCAAAGCAGCTCCATGTTTGCGGTAGGCTTGACAGCCTTGAACAGCTCCGTCGATGCCTTAGTCTCGACTTGTACAGAAGCATGGCATGAATGAAAATCTTTCAAGCTCTTCCTGAATGTCCTGCAAGTAGCAGCAAACAAGCCCTGATCTTGGAGTGTTGATTTCAGCGCGGCTGCCGCCAGAAACCTTAAAGTGCGGAACTAAATGTCCGTCTGCTGGCTAACGGAACATGAGCATCAACAGCTTCTATGAAACATGCACCATCAAATTTCTTGGGCAGCCCAGAGACTTAACGGAATTGAAAGGTGGGGTTCTCAGACCACGCTCGTCGATAATCCCATAACCGGCTGCCATCGTTGCTGGCAGCAGGACCTGCTTATTCAGAAAGGAGCGCTGGAAATTTCGGAGGAAGTCAACTATCGAATTAGAGGCCGAATCCACGGAACCACCAGCCTTCCCAGTGAAATCAAACTTTGTGCGGTCCCGCGCAAATGCAGACACGGCCCGGCCAACAAAGAGCGGTGTCTCTGCGAGGGGGCTCTGAACCAGTGCAGCAGTATCAAACCTGCTGTCGCATGCAAGTCTGGGAACTAACGTTGATTAGGGACAAATATGCCAAGATGCTCTGGTCCTGGAGCCAGCCCACGGCGTTCAGAGATTCCTCCGAGAGCGCCATCCTGGATGTTCCTGACTGCCATAGTTACATGGCATTTTGGTGCCAGAGTAGATTTTAACCCTAAACGATCACTTGCTAGCAGTCCAGGCCCATGCGAGGAGCACCTGCGAGGTTCCCGAAACTGGGCCCAAGAGAGTGCTACTTTCTCGACAAGCAACCCGAGAAAAGTACGATTTAGCAGTCAACACGTCCCTGGTTACACGTGTGGGTTGAAGACGGAGCATCAGGCCAAAGTTTACGCGAATTGCGCCCACGTGAATTGCGCCCGCGTGCACCAACGGCTTGCGGATCCATGCTAGCCTGTTCTGTTATCCTTGGAGTGGATGAGTGCAAACTGTTCAGGACATTTGCAAATCAAGATGGCATCATGCAACCCTTGATTATCCAACACTTGACTCCAGAGCTGTTGGACCACAGCAATATATCGATTCCACATTGCAGCACTCTTACTGATCGGATGCAAAGCTGCTCGTGCCGATTCCGTCCCCCTCCTGTCATCCCTTTCTTCGCCTGAACCCCCTGTTCCAGATGCAGTACGCTCAGAGGTTGACGTGCATTGGCACTCTTCTTGACCGCATTGCTCTCACTGTCTCGTCAACAGCCTTCCAGCCTTTGCTTGCCTCCGGCTTGCGACTGGGATGCTCCTGCTCCTTTCCTTCTGCCCTCATGCTGGCCTCGATGCCTGCTCGCAACGACGCGAACCTGTCATAAGACAAAGCTTTGCTGGGTCTCCTAGCCGGGTCTCTCCGTTGCAACGATCCCTGGCCACAGCGAGATCATGGTGACATTGTCAGTAGCCAGCTCGATGGCCATGTCAGCAGCCATGCGATCCATTGCCGCCTTTCCAATGCCGTAGGCAACGTCGAAAATGTAGTCTGGCAGTTGCAAACAGCACGAAGCACTCCGTCATCTACCAAGCTTTTGTCACTTTTGTCACCAAGGCGCTGAGGCCACCGAAGGACCCGACGTTGATGATGAGCCCCGATTTGGCATTGGTCATGTGTCGAGCTGCAAATACACTGGCAAGGTAGTGAGAGCGCAGCCCAACGTGGTTGACTTGGTCCCAAGCATCAGCTCCTCTCAAGCTGTGCTGTTCTGAGGCCTACTCGAACCACGGCACGGACAGCACCCGTCAAGCCCCATCCTTTCTCCCAAAAGGGTTTCCCAGCGTGCTTCGGTAGCCACGATACGGCGCTGAAGGCATTGTTGACTAGAACATCGATGCGCCCATGATCGCGAACGACCTGTAAACCGCAGAGATGCCCGGGACTCGGTTTGGACTTTCGCAACTCTAGGTTTTTCAACAAAAAATGGCAGAAACACAGCCTGATCGATAAACTCTCTCAGCTGTTCGTCGTTTCCGCTGTCGACGCCGGCTGCAATGCATTTGCCACCAGCCTTCAACGGGGGTGCAAACAGCATGCAGCTTAAAAAGTCGAACAGCTTCCCCACGCGGCCTTCACCACTTCGGCGCAAGTCTCCTCCAGCGTTCCAGCTTGTGGAACTCCACCAGGTCCACCAGTGTTAGTCGAGTTTGAAGACACAGTGCGACCTGCATGTTCAGCTGTTGGACGTCCCCTCTGCTCCACGAAGCCCTCGCGTATGCATCCTGCCTGTAACATACACTGTGGCCCCAGTCTCGCCCAAGCCGATTGCGATGCCTTTGCCTATTCCCCGGCTTCCGCCGGTCACAATTGCAACCTGCACAGCAAACACCATGTGGAAAGGAGATGAAAGGATCAGGAAAGTCACATAATCAAGGCATATGGGAACTGAACTCCAGTGTCTCCACTTCCTGTTCATGTTTTCTCACACTAAAATTTCATGAGCACGGTTCTGGGGAGTGCCAGTCACCGTCGCGCTTGAGCGAATCAAACACATTACGTCATCAAAGCAAGTAATGAATAATTGACAGTAACCCATTCAGCAAACACTAGTGCGGGGAAAGAGGTGTGTGCACGTGTACGTATTACCTTGGTTTAACTGGCTTCAACCGAACTCTGTTGTTATGCGTAGTATTTGGCATTGAAGCTAGACAGCTAAATTCAGTCTGTAGAGGGGAGGGCAGGGGAGGAGGTGGGGCTGCAGCAGCCTTGCCGACCAGCGAGGGCTCCAGGTTTGCGTTTGAAAAGGGCGTCTGGAGGTTGTAGGCGATAAACGCAAAGAAGACCACGAGAAGCAAACTCCTCCAGCCGACCATGATTGCACGATCATGCGCTGTGTTCGAATCTACCGGTCATCAGACCTTGGGCCAAGCAGAGGCATTGACTCAAGCGATGCAAGCCAGCACATGCGAAGCTGCCACGGACTTCGAATCATTCTGGCCAACTCGCGTCTGAAAATGGAGGGGAGACCCGGCATGATGCCGCGTGGTCATTTCAATTTCTGCGTAACACCCGTGCGGAACCCGCATTAGGACTGCTACATACGTTGCAAACCAAAGCATGCGGTCACTCTGGTAGCAACTTGCAGATGCCAGGCCTAGCCGAAGCTGGAGACCTTTGGCATGTCAGACAACGTCTTCGACAACCTGCCGGAAGCGGAATAGATTCCTGTTCCCGCTTTGGGGGAAGATCTCAGATCTGCTTGATGTCTCTTGTATCTCATCATGCCCATTGAACAAGAAACCCTGCACAATGTGTGCTGCACCTCCACTGCATCAACTTAACATGCTGCAGGGCATGAACTGCTTTTTGGATGCTTCGCCGGGCTGTCTTTTCGGCACGGTGCCGAATCCGATAGCATCAACAAGGCGAAGCAGCCGGACAGGCATCGAGTGCTAAAGGAAGCCTTGTGTACCATCCAAGCCATGCCCCCTTGTAGCTTACGGGCAGCCCAAAGCCTGCAAAAGGCGATGCAGCACCAATGAGCAGAGCATTGCAGGTACACCTTCTGGAGAACAGCCACTTCTTGCACTTCTTGCTCTTCGTGGGTGCCTTCAGGTCGATACTTAGAATAAGGAGGCTGAGGATAGGTCTTATGGCTGAGTGCTTCGCAGAAAGCAACCTGGCTTTATGATGCTCCGATCCTTTAAAGCAGGAGAACTCAGAAAGACATGTCGTCACGCGTTCTTGGTCCGAGGCTGTGCAGCCTTACTCCGAATGACTGGTGGTTTGTGTGTTTATATGTACACATGTGCATGTACATTCTGCGTACATATATACATGTGTGCACGTGCACGTGTGTGTTTGTGTGTGCACAGGGGTCTCTGTAACATATGTATCTACATATGTATATAGATAGATAGATAGATAGATAGATAGATAGATAGAATGACAGATAGATAGATATGTACACTTTTTGCGTGATATATGCGTCCTTCGCATACATGTGTATGTATATATATACAGAAACAAATATACATATAATGTGTCTATATGTCCGCCTGCATGTGTTCATGTCGGGCAACTGCGCATACATACCTGCGTACATACGAATGTGTGTGCATACTTACATTCCATATTTATTCTAGCTTATAACAGTTTATACCTGCAAGAATATTCATACTTGTGTTTACGCTTGCATCTACATCCTCATGCTTGTTAGAAGAGATTGAAAAGCTCCGAGCTTGTCGGCAGCTGTAAGTGCGGAAGCTTCAAACGACTTCACAGGACATACAAGACATTTGCAAATACACCCGAAGTGGGCTATCAAACGACCATATGGTCACCCATGCACAGACCGCTTAGCAGCAATGTAGTCCATGCTTTGCACCACGGCGCCCTGCGTGGAGCTGCGAGTTGAATGAAGATCTTGGCAACTTTGGCACCCTGAAGATGGCGGAAAGACCAACCACGGACCAGCGACTCATCAAACTCCTCCGCCGTCTTTGAGGATGGAGGTGGCCACGGCGCGCGCGACTTCAATGGCTCCTCAGCCATCGATTCATGCTCTTGACATGTGTAACTTGCATGAGAAGCCGTTTCAAACTGCAAGCTCGGTGAGCCAAACACTGATCGCTGCCGTTTTGAGCGAACTCGAAGGCTCAAATGCTGGGGGCGAGCCCGGTCAGATCGCGATGTAACTGTCAAGATACTGCGCCAGACCCTCTCAGGCTAGGGAGTCAAAATATGCCGTTTGCCGGGAAGGCTCCATCTTTAGACAAGTGTACGGCGTCTGCACGGTAGCCAGAAGGCTGCAGGCATATATCCACCAAAGTAGTGTCCACTCTGGTCTCCCTTCGCATGCCACGCTGCTTGAACACACAGTAGTGCACAAAACGCTGCTGTGCAAGTAAGTGCTTGGGCTGTCTCCCCTCGCCCTTCGTGGAAAGCATGCCAAGCTCAAGCGGACCAAGTCACGCGACCCTCCGCAGCTCTGGGTGAACGTGCTTTGCCAAATTCTCCCTGAGGCGTCCGGCCTTGGCCTGTTGAGTCGCAGCGAGTGCCCCGAGTTGCCTCTCTTAGACAAAGAGCTGGACATAAAACAGGCCCGAGGCACACCAGGAGGAAGTACCAGGAAAAACGGTCGACACTTTCTGCTCGACGGCATGGCAGTTTTAACCCTGAGCGGCACGGGAATCACACAGCAGACAGCCGTCTGGCATGCAAAAGGTGCAACTTAGCTTGCCAACCGTCGACAACTTGCTGTGCTGCGTCCAACGTTAGCCTGTCCAAGGCCGAGACTTTCCCAGGCTGTCGAGCAAGGTCATCATGCTTTCGCCGATCTTCTGTGGCTCCCCGGCACGATGCCAGGCATCGTTCGTTCCAAGCATGACCTCGCCACGTGATAGCACTGGACATTCATGGAATGAAATAGTCCGGCATCGTCACCGTTCAGAAGAGAGAAGGATCTCCAGAGCATTCCACTGAATGTTGCCGGGCAACTACGATGATGTGAGGGGAAAACCCAACTGCGTCCTTGCATCGTTGCTGACTAGCATAGCCTGAGATTTGATGGCTCGCATGAAGTTCTAGGGGGGTTGTGCACAAGCACATCAATCAGGCTTGAGGGGCTATAAAATTCAAGAAGCATTTCTTGCCTGGTGTATCCACAGCAACTGCCCCATTGACACCGAAGGGCTTGACGAGAAACGCGCCTGCTCCGGCCTCATCGGGGACACCGGGAGCTACCAGATCCCAGCATTCTCTCCGGATACTGAGACTGCGGATGACAACGGGCTATACATTCCAAGCTGCACGCTCATCCAGTTGTCGCTGCAGCTGGGCCGGATAGGCTCCGGTCTTCCTACCGTGCTGGGCGATATGCGGCGATATGCTAGGCCACCAGCTCTGGAGCTCTTGACTTGTGGGAAAGACCCTTTCTTCTGACGAGTCGCCCGAGCCCTCCACCAACAGTGTTGGAATCACCCAGGCAGGCAACACGGACGGGGTCTGAGCCTGTCCGCTCATTCAGTGCCCTGCGCTTCGCATCTCTGACCTGTGCGCCAGAAGGCCGCTTCATGCCGCAGCACAGGCAGCTCCAGTGACCCAACAACCGAAGCATTGGCGTCACTCGCCGAAGTGCGAGTCATTACCAACCGTGGAGCCAGCAGCAACGGCACGGCATGCAACATGGTAACATGGTGCACAAACCGATCGGTTGTTGCAAATGTGGCCCTGTCATGCAAGGCTCGACTGATGGCCTTTGGCGTGCAGGGATCAAATGAGCCGCACGAGCCGCCTCAGGTTCACGGGCGTCCACCTCTGTAACATAATCCCGCCAAGCAGTTGCTCAGGTCTTTGAACACTGTCGGAAGTCAAGCAGATTCAAGCTTTTCTCTCTCGAGCGGTGCCATCAGCGACATGTCAGTACCTGAGCCATGCATTGTCCGCAATGTCGCAAACCGTTGGTGCTTCTGTCATCACGAGTTGCGATCCGTTGTGATGCAAAGAAACCATGCAACTCGAACACCCGTGGCTGTGCTCAAAGTTCGGGTGAGAGGCTGGTCATCTTCGGCTGCTGCAGGCTGGCTCCCCTCGCCCTGCTTTTCCTGAGCCGAAGCTGAGAGCTGTCCATTGAAGATTGATGTATGTGAGCCAGCTGCAACTCGAAGTAAGCCCTTCGCCGGTTCGGCGGGTGCTGCAGGTGGGCTTGCTTCTGCCCCACCGCCTCCGTAAACGTTGGGCCGACATCTGAACGGCACCGAATTGATTAGATAGTGTTGATGCAGCGCCTGGTTGCTCTTCCATCTTGGCTTCAGCCTTGTCGTCGCCAGCCTGCCAACAGTTGCGAGGCGAGCAGTTGCAACCAGACAGCAGAGTCAGCCGGCATCTGGACGATCATGTGCTTGCAGTGGGGCCTTGTCTTTTGCCTCTGTCTCCGCCTTTTCTTGCAGTTTGACTCACCACAAATATCGCGCCAAATCTGCGCACAAAGCGATTCTGAAGCCTTCTTGGGATCATCTTCCCCATCTTTCTTCGCGAGATGGGGAAGAACAAGCTGAAGCCTGAACGGGAACGTCTGAACGTCTGAAGGTCTGAAGGTCGTCTGCGACATCATGCCACTTCTTGGCAAAAATCCAGCTCTTTTCGGACAAGCTGCCAAACAGGGATGAGGAGGACACACCTTGGGAAGCAGTGGAACAGAACAGGTTTCAGACATCTTGCAGAATCTTGTGTGCTTCACGTTCCGACATAGATAAACGATTGCAATCGGCATTCTTGTCTTCGAAGACTGGGAGGCCATGTTGCGCAAGTACGAACAAACACACAGATACACAGACAGACAGTCAGACAGAGACACACACACACACACACATGCACTCATGAACAAACCTCCAGGACACTCCCAAATTAGCATGTAGTGGCGGGATTCACTCAGCACGAGGTAGGGCACGAGTGGGAGTAGAAGGAGAAAGAGTGGCATCAGGAGTAGCAGCAGAGGTAGCAGGAGCAGTAGCAGTGGCAGGCGCAACAGCAGCAGCACCACCACTACTACTACTCCTCCTCGTGTGGCTGCTGCTGCTACTTATACCACTACTACTGCTACGAGCACTAGCACTACGGTGGAATCCACAGTAGCACTAGCACAAGCGGCACTACTCGTGCTAGTACGAGGGCTGATGCTAGTAGTGCAGTAGCAGTAGTAGTCGTCGTATTCGTCGTCGTCGTAGTCGTAGTAGTAGTAGTAGTAGTAGTAGTAGAAGTAGTGGTAGTGGTAATGGAGAGGTGGTGGTATAGTAGTAGTCGTCGTCGTAGTAGTTAGTCGTAGACGTAGCCGTAGCAGTAGTAGTAGTAGTAGTAGTAGTAGTAGTAGTAG